CCTGTGCCCTCCCCTCCCGGGCCCAGGCACTGCTCACTCAGCTGTTGTTTATCTGGGGAGGGGGTTATCGCTGCCCCCGGGAGGGCCGATAAGGGCGGATCGATCCCGCGGGACGATCCTCCCTGCACGTACCGGAGGGACCCGCGGTGCCCGCGCGGGCCCGATCAGAGTCCGGCCCTCGTGGATCAGCGGAGCCGCCGGAGGCTCCTCAGCCCCGGCCACGGGGCCACTTCAAAGAGGGTTAATTGGGAGTCAATTAATGATCAGGAGATGCCGGAGATTTCGGGAGCCTTTGAGGAGCCTTTGAGGCGCCTCCGAGCTCCCTCGGGAACTCTGCTCCGGGTGGAGGCGAGGGAGGGAAGGAGGGGACACCCCTTAAATAGGGAGGGACACCCCCAGGGGAGAGTGGGACACCCTCGGGCCTCGAAGAGTGCGGCAGGAGCACCATCATGCCCACCAAACCCACCCCCGGCTGCGAGCTGGGTGAGTACTGACACCCCCCCCCCGGGGGCTGGCACCGGCCCCAGCCTAAAACACCCGGGATTTGGGGGATTCAGACAGTTTCCCATGCCCAGGCTGCCTGTGGGGTCGGTCACACCTGGGTTCAGGTGGGCAGTGATGGGTTATTCCCATCTCTGATGCTTGCACTGTCGGGTCAAGGCTGAAGGTGAATCAGGGAGTTTCTCATCTCCTGGATTTCTCATTTTCCCAGAATTTGGTCACTTAGCAATACCCTTAGCAGTGCCCAGCCGGCAGGAGCCGTGTCCCATTCCCAGTTAAATCCATGGGGTTGTTCCTTGGGAAGGGAGCGGTTGAAAACAAATTATTCCAAGTTTCCAAGAGAAGGCATGGAAGAAGAACTCTGGAAGGAGCAGAGTTTCCCTCTGGAAAAACAAGCAGCAAATGAAAGAAAAGCCCTGTCAGGCCGTTCTCCCCCAAAACACGGGGTTTTCTGGGAGAGAAGGGAGCAATCCCATCTGGGAGAGATGGGAGCAGTCAGGGGGGGAACCAGCACTGGAGGGCGCCAAAAGTCTGGGAACTGGGAGAGAAAAACAGAGGTATTTTGGTACCAAAAGCGCTGCTGGGGGGGCGAGGGGAGTTCCAGGAGGGCTCTTGGGCTCCAAAGGGATCCACGATTTGGGGTGGAATGAGCGGCTGTTAGGAAAAGCTCAGAGTGGGAGCAGGGGGATGCTGCAGCTGGTGTGCCCCCTCATCACCACCACGGGGTCCTGGGACTCTCCTGGGGCCTCACTGGGGCTCAGCCTCCCCACTGGGTTCAACCCAGAGCTGGGGTTCTGCCCTCGACCCCAGGACCACGGGAGTGCCCCGACCCCCATACTGGGGACTACACTGGGGTCCTGGGACCCTCCTGGGGCCTCACTGGGGCTCAGCCCCCCCACTGGGTTCAACCCAGAGCTGGGGCTCTGCCCCCGACCCCAAGACCACGGGGGTGTCAAGGCCCTCCCGGCCCCCCATACTGGGACTGCACCGGGGTCCTGTCACCTCCAAGGTGA